TAAGCCAGCAAGAGCTCTACATGCCAGAGAAGTACTGACTGAAGTACTAGCAGTCAGTCATGAGCTCAACATTATCTAAAGCATATTTTTTGATCCTATTTTTTCCTATTGTTTACCATCCCTGGTAAACAACAGGAAATCCACTCAATGATCCTTTACTGTGTTTCTCTAGCCAAGGCCAGGATGCCAGGAGCACCTGAACACAACCAAACCAAAGCCCAAGCCCATCAAGCTGGTCTGTCAATCCCCACTCAGGGGGGAGGGCAGGCACTGAGCAGCTGCCTGTGCTTTCATGAGGAGAGGACCCGCTCTGCTCAGGTCTCAACCTGGATGACAAGTTCTCCTTCGAGTTCATGTGATTCAGATCCTATCTTCAGTGCCCTCTGCCTCTGACATCACTAGCTGGTTGCATGACATAAAAAACCCACAGCAACTCTTTGTGCTTTGCAAGTGATGGCAGCTCACTCTTTAACCCATGTGCTTGCTGGAGTGGCACTAAGGACCGATGAACTCCAACAGTGGAAATGGAGCTATTCTGATGACTTCAGCAGGCCTGCTCCCTGCTGCCTACCCCAGCACATTCCCACTTTAATAAGCTCAACATGACCCAGCAGCCCAGAAAACCAACCATGTCCTGGGATGCAACAAAAGGAGTGTGCCCAGAAGGTCCAGGAAAGGGATTTTTCACCTCTACACCACTTTAGTGAGACCCCACCTGGAGTTCTGCATCAGTTCTGGGGCCCACAACACAAAAGGGACATGCAGCTGTTGGGCTGAGTCCAAAGGAGAGTGATGAATATACTCGGAGGTCTGGAACAGCTCTGCTATGAAGACAGGCTGAGAGAGCTGGGCTTGTTCAGCCTAGAGAAGACTCCTTAAGGGGAAAAGTTAGAGCAGCTTCCAGTGCCTAAAGGGCCTACAAGAAACCTGGAGAGGGGCTTTTTACAAGGGTCTGTAGGGACAGGACAAGGGTGATGGCTTTAAACTGACAGAGGAGAGATTTAGATGAGATCTCAGGAAGAAGTTCTTCCCTATGAGGGTGGTGAGGCCCTGGCACAGGTTGCCCAGAGAAGCTGTGGCTGCCCCATCCCTGGCAGTGTTCAAGGCCAGGTTGGACGGGCTTAGAGCAACCTGCTCTAGCGGAAGGTGTCCCTGCCTGTGGCAAGGGGCTGGAACTGGGTGAGCTCTAAGGTCCCTTCCAACATAAGCCATTCCATGGTATGGTGATTCCATAATAACGCAGCCCCCAAGGCGGGTCGAGCTGGGAGGGGACAGGCCTCACCGCAGCGGGGACCTGCTACCTCCCTGCTTCCCTCCACCGCGCTCCGCCAGCCCCCGGCTGAACCCCGCTGCGAGGACAGCGGATGAAGAGCCACCGCCGCCACCCGCCGCCCCGGCCCCGTGCCCCACAGCCCCCTAGCCCCCCAATCTCCCGGTACCTCTCGGCATTAGGGATGACGACACCACCCTGCTGCGAGTGGTGCCTGTTCAGCGCCATCTTGTCCCCTGCTGACCCCGCCTCTGACCTGTGACGTTCCCCCTCCTCTCTCCCCCCATAGGGCCCCGCTCCCCTCAGCGCCCCGCCCCCGGTGACGCGTGCCGTCAGGCGGACGTGAGGCGGTTGCTAGGTGACGTGAAGTTTAATGGCGACCGGCGCGGAGAACGCTACATCAGGCGGCACTGCCTGGCCCGGCCCGGTCCGGCCCGGCCCTCACCGATCCGGGCACCGCGTCTGCCCCGTGACGAGCCGCGGGCCAGCGCCAGCCCCGGTCTGCGCAGGCTCAGCGGGGTGCCGCTGGAAAGGACCGCGGCCCGGCTCCCGGTTGGGCCCGGCTCCCGGTTGGGCCCGGCTCCCGGTTGGGCCCGGCTCCCGGTTGGGCCCGGCTCCCGGTTGGGCCCGGGAGGGCTTAACCCCCAAGCTCCCGGTGCGGTGTCTGGCTGAGAGCGTTTTTGCCGACCTCTGTTCGCGTAACCATCGCAGCGCCGCTTCCTGCTTTCCAAGCCGGCTGCTGCGGTGGGAGAGGAGCTGGCAGTGTGCCTTGGGCAGCCGTTCCTCAGACGCCCGCTCACTGACTGTACTGAGCTGTAATTAACTTGTCCTTACGACTAACCACAAATACAGTGCCTGCACAAGTGCTACTTGCTCTTCTGGCCCTCTGCTCACTGCATAGCCACACCTGCCGTGATGTTCGTTACCATCTTAGCCTGGTGGAATTTATCCAGCCTTTGGGATTTACCACAGTTTGTCTGGTGAGTGGCTTTCCGGTGAAGAGCTGTCTCTGAACACACTGAGGAGGGATCTCCAGCTTAAAATTTAACCTCTACCCTCCTATGGTATCGTTCAGGTGATACCCGACGGGAACATCTGGTGTGCTGCGGTCATCCTGGAGCGCAGCTGTTGGCACACAAGAGCTGGGATTCATTCAGGCTTTTCCTACCTGATCCATCCACAGAGGCTTTTTCCCAAAGGTGTCTGCAGCTGTTGCACAACATGTGAAATTCCTTATGTTTGCCCTTTGTAGGCCTTCAGACAGATGAGCAGATGGCAGTGAGGAATAGCTGAGCCTGTTTTTCTCAGCTCGCTTTTATGGATCCTTTAGAATTAGTCCATGATCTGGCAGGAAATTATAGAGCAGAGCTTAAAAAACACCTTATTACAAACAAACAAAAATTCCTAAACCTATAGAGCAAACACATGGCCTTGTCCTTGCAATCCAGTTACAAGCAAAGAAAAATCCCTTCTGTTGTGTGGAATCTGCTTTGCTTTCATTAAGCAGGGCAATCTTTGCCATAAGCCTTGTATGGGGCCGAGAGTCATAGGAATGACCATACCACAGCCCAAGGAGATGCAGACCAGTGGCAAGAGAGTTCCTCTAGATGATGGAGCATTGCTTCGTGCTTCAGTGCAGTGAAGAAGAGGAGCCCTGAGGGAGTCTTTCCTACTGCTCTGGGTTTAAAACATCATGTAGAGGCTGGGCAGGAGCAGCCAGAGCAGAGAAGGCTGAGAAGATGCTTCTGGTAGCCAGTGATGCTGAGAACTCCATGGCTGGTGGAGACAAGCTGGGAGGAGGCTCTGACCCCATGCTGGCCAGTGTAGGTGGCAGATGGGGAGCAGTGTGCGGTTTCTATAGGGTCCATGATACTGGTGATGGGGCTTTTGTTCTCTGCAGGTTGAGCAGGGCTGGTGCGGGTGGAAGCTGTATGTGGAGCTGTGAACATCGGTGTGAAAGGATCACAAAGGGCTGGTATGGCCCTCGCATCCCAGCAGTGCTGAGAATGTCTGGTCTGTGTGGACAGGTGGGAACGCAGGAGTGAGGAGACCTTTGCTTTGCAGGGACAGCACCAGAGAAAGCCTCAGGATGGATATACGCTCTCAGATGTTTTTGCTGAGGCTTGGAGAACCCTCTCCTAGCCGTGTTCCCTGTACAGCTCTATCAACCAACCTCAGGCTTGGCTTCAGTCCTTTGCTGTTCCCTTGCTGGGATCTCTTCCTCACTCCCTCCTGTGCCAGCCTTCCCAACCTTATCCCAAACCCATTGCACTCCCTTTCCTTGCAGCGCTGCCATCCTGTGCTATGGCATTCTGCACTTGCATTTGAAGTGCAACCGGAAATTCTCCTGGAGGTAACAACCCTGGCCAGCCATGTGATGTGCTAGGTGACAGGCAGAGACTGCCAAACTAAGGACATTCTCCTCTCTTCCCATCTTCCCGGCCAGCCCTGCCATTTCCACCTGGCTTAGGGACACCCAGAAAAGAGTTGATGCCAGCTAGAGACAAGCATATAGCTTCAGTAAAGTTGTGCCTCTTTCTGCTCCTGGGTCTTTACCTTCCCTCCAGGGGAAGGTAAAATGAGAGCTTTTCGAAAGGGCACATCGATGAGGAGTTGTGAGAGATTGGGAGATGAAGGGGGAGAAAGCAGTCTGGAGAAGAGGAAGGTTCAAGTGCTCAGAGAGATGGAGAGACAGAAAGGGTCAAGAGCAGAGAAAGTGAGATAGGGAAAGAAAGTAAGGAAGCAAGCTATGGAGGGCTAAAAGGGAATAACAACAAAAGCACAGGAAAAGGGGCCATGGAAGCTGGGAGAGCAGTAAGAGGATGGGGGAGCAGCGCAAGCTGAGACTGCTGGAGTAGCAAACGCAGACATTTCAGCAAGGGAAGAGGAGGTATCTCTTTTGTTCCCACCATCAGTAGAGACCCAGTGCTTCTCAATCCATGGCTCTCTGCACTCCTTCAAGATCCTGAAGGCCCTGTGCTGAGCAGGGCTGCCCCTGGGAAGCTCCCAACAGAGACCCCCCATGGCACTGTCTTCCCTGTGCTCCCATAACACAGGGTCTGTGTTGTGGGGGGGAAGGTTCATCCAGGACCGGCTCAGTACTGGTGGAGAGAGACTGCTGCAATGGGGGATGAGATGGAGTGACCGCAGGACAGCTTGGTCTCATCTGCACAGGATCAGAAGCCTGTGACACAAGCATGGCTTTGGATCTTAGCACTGAGCAGGGCAAATGCACCCTCTGCAGCAGAAACATGTTCTTTTTCTCTGGGTTTTGCTTTTTTTCTTTTCTCTCTCAAATACAGCTCTTTTCCTCAAGCACTTCCATGCTTCTCAATAGATGTTACAGCCCAAGAACTAATTCTGTCTCCTCCCACTGGTCACTTCCTCTGAACCACAAAATGTGTCAGTCTGTCACTTCCCTCATCCACTTCCAAGCTGCCATTTCCCCTTGGGAAGCCACAGCAAGAAATGGGCTTAAAATGCTGGGCTACCGTGCCCTCAGCCCAACCAGCTGCCTTCCCACGCACTGAGGAGCCAAGAGAAATCGCTGCTGCCCTCACTTGAAGACACTGCAAGCACTGGCTCCACCATCTCTCCTGGAGTCTCTCCTTGCCATGTCTCCAAGCGATTAAACCAGGAACACAGCATGACCCACACCTCCCACCTCTGCTCCTAGAAATCCTTCCCCCCATCCCTATTCCCCCCAGACAAGACAGAGAGCTGAGACACAAACAAGACGAAGGAACATGACGGACAGTCCGCTATGCAAAAAGACAAACTGAGACTGAGGACACTCTGGGGAGGACAGGGGAGACCTCACCTTTGGTCACTCTCTGGCACATAGGTAGGTGCACACACACACTCACACTCGCATCCTCTCACACACATGGAGGATGCGCCACATGTTTCAAGATGGGTCCATGGTAGACTCAAGGGTAGCAGGGGTGGGTTGTCATATCCAGAGACACTGGGTGACATCAGGGGTGTGTGTGTGTGTGTCATTCACAGGTTACTTTCATGGTTTTCCTCTGTCTCAACAGCCATGGGGGGCAGCCCTCCGTTGTCATTCAGCCGCTTGGCCCTGTAGGTTTCATAGTGGATGTTGTGGGTCACTTCTTTCAGGTCCTGAAGGTGGGTCCTGCAGGGGACAAGGTGAAGGTGGGGTTAGGAGGAAGATACGATAACCAAGATTAGCTCAGTCAGTATTAATCTTCTGATGATCATTTTATTCCCTGAGATAAATGGAAGATTTCTTCAGGCAGTCTGGCTAGTGAGCATACCCCTTTCTGCATGGATTGCATGGGTGCCATCACACACAGCATCAGCATTCAAGAATACATATGCAGGATGCAGGATATGGGCTGAAATCCCTGTCTGTGCTTACCAGTCTCCTGCCTCTCACATGTGTGCCAGCGGGACAGCCACTGGGCATCCTGGTATGTCAGAGCAGACATGGTCTTATCTCATCTGAAGCAGTGGTGAGACAAGGAAGCACAAGACAAAGAAGCACCAGGAGGGTGTCGCATGTCCACTGCAGATGTTACCTCAGAACACTGCTGTGAACATCATCTTTAACCTCCATAGAAAGCCTGTGGGCTTGGATTTCTGTGTGATTTGTGATGACCACTTGGTTAGGATGTTTTCACTATCAGACTCAGCATGTCTGCCGCAGAAGGTATTGCAGAACAAAAAGAGGGCAGTGGGGTGATGTGCAAGCATTGTCTCAATACTACCATACCAACAGGTGGAATGAGCTACAGGAGTCTATATTCTAAGTGTGTTACCTTTATTTTCTTAGTTTTGGTGTTGTTTTAAAACCTTCTTATATTTATAGGGAACTGAGGTGACCCTGGGTCTGTAGCTCTTCTACAGAATTTAGGGCAGGTATCACTTGTGCTGAAACAACTTCATGAAACAGAGTAGAAATAAGAGAGGACAATGAAAGATAAATGAAATAGAGAACTTTCCATTTCCAGGTCATATATTCCAGCACATCCCTCAGCCTGGTAGGACACATAACCTAGGATGTGGTAGTGGCCTCTTTTTCACAGACTCCACCCCAAACCCATTGTCAGCAACAAATAGAAGCAGTTTCAACCTAATATCCTTAATGGGATATAAGGGGGGTGATAGTACCCTGCTTTTCTCCAGGCATCCAGCTCATACATGAAAACTAGTACCTACTTCACATAGTGATCTTGTCACTAAGAGACGCACTAGAGCATCCAGCCCTTAACTCAGTCTAACCCTGCGCCACGTAAGTCTTTACTGCCTGAAATATACTCTATTTTCCTCTCCATAGGGGCTATTTCACTCTAAGAGGGTCTCAGGAAGACTCCCTGCTCATCAAGAGCGAACTGGTGCATGACCATGGCCTTACCTGATGACGAAATCTCGAAGTAGGGCAAATTCACAGTGGGTCAGGTTTTCCACTGAAAAGGCAGCAAGCAAATGTTAGGTTTGACTTTTTCCAACAACCGCTTTGTGGTTACATGGAAGAGCATGGGAAGGTCATCGCTATGGGGCAGGTTCTGGGTTGACAGAGCCTGCATACTTCAGAAGGAACAGACAGCTGTCTGAAAGGCACAGTCAGGCATTGAGGAGACATGCTAACAGATGCTGAGCAGTCATGTGTGCAATTGTATTTGAAAACCAAGGCAGCCTCAGGAGCCCAGCCTCACACACGGTGCTGTTCAGAGTGGCTCCAGCTTCTACCAGTTGGCAGCAGTGGTACCACATTGACCATGGCAGTTCCCTCCCAACAGTGCTATTTGAGAATTCTCCTCTTGGTTTCAAGAAGTTTATCACAAAAGGGATGGGAAGGTGGCCATGGGACATGCTGCCTGGACCCTGGTTTATTACTGGGGCCTGCAGAGAAACTATCAGCTCCCAGAAACAAGGGATTCTTTTACCTTCAATGATTCCCCAAGGTGTTTTCCTGCCCAGGACTCTTTTGCCGTTCACTTGGTATTCCTTGTCGCTGCCCACTACTGCAAAGGGCATGCTTTCCTGCTGGGGAGAGACAATGTGCAGAGATCTATTGAACCCATTCCAGAGAGCAGCACAGTCGCTGTTCCCCATCCACTTTCCTCCTCTCAGCTCACTGAACATAAGGCCTTTTCCAAGAGGATTCTCCAGGACAACACTTCACTGGTAGTCATCTTTACCCTTGCACTCCCCAAGCTTAGTGGGTAGTTTGCAGCAGTGCAAAGGCTCTGGTGGGGCAGGGGGGAAGAGCTTTTCTGTTCCCATCTCCAGCATTTCTGAAGGGGGGGGTAACCAAATAAGAAGTACCTTGGCTGGTACTTCTTATGAGGGTCTGTCAGCCCAGCATTATTCATATAGAGAATTTGCCCTGTTTCTCACCCAGATTGTAGTTCTCCACCAGAAGAGGGAGATAACTCAAAATAATCCTCCCCAGCAAGACACAACAAGTTTAATGTCTGAAATGGTTGTACTGAGGAAGACCAGAAATGGGGTGGGGGTGCAGCTTTCCTGGGAATTGGGACAGTAGGTGAGGCTATTGGTGACTGAGACTTAAGCACAGGGAGAAACCATCTGTTTCCAGAACACAGATGCTGGAGATGCTGCTATCCATAAGGGTGTGCAGATGTTCATAGATTTGCTCTGCTTTATAGATATAATTGGGCGTGGGGAGGGACTGTAGTTACCAAAGGAACAGAGATCAAAAAGCAGTGCATTTCTTATGTGTGATGCTGAAGTGCAGAACAAAATGTGGTGCTCTTGTCAAAACCAGTAACTGTTTGGAGAAGAAGCAAAACCCATCTAATCTTCTCCAGAATGTGTAATATATGGCCAAATGGGAAATGATTAATAAGATGGAGAAGGTGGGAATTTCTGCTGGGGCTGTGACAGTTGGGGCAGTTGAAAGGGCAAGTGTCAGGCAGCAGTACAAGAGTTTCTTGAGGACTGTGTGGATGGCAGTCTATTTTCATTAAGAGCCTAGCTACAAAAATGATGGGTGGGATAACTAAATGCAGTAGCATCACAAGGCCAAGAGGTGTTGTCAGTAAAAAAAGCAGCCTGTGTTATTATATGGGAAGATGTAAGTTTGAGGCACAAAGAGCAGCATTTAGGGAATAACAGCAAGAATTTCTGCACACCTTCAGAGCTCATAAGCAAGTAGCATCTGAGGGAGTGGAAGGACCCCATGTGCTAGTCAGATACAGAATGACCATGAGCCACTAGCATGATGCAATTGTTTAAAATGCACATGTGGTCCATGGGCTTAGCAGTTCAGATCTCAGGAGAGATGGGGGAGCATCAGATATCAGCACCAGTGCTACAGAATCAAATCAGACTGGAGCAGTCACAGGAAAAAGTGACTAGGAGCATGAACTACTGGGGAATGGAAGGCTCATCCAAAGGAGTTTGTCTCCTTTAGCTGACCAGAAGGTCCCTACATCTGTTGCATCTTTCATACATGAACCAAGAAGCACTGAAAAACCACTAGTAACACATGCCCATTTTACACTTGTTAAATATGATCAGCCCTCATCTCCCCTTCCCCTCCCATGATAAAATGTTTCCTACCCTGATTTTGTCGTTCTCTGTTTTATCCTCCAAGTCCTCATCGAATTCTTTCTGGGGGTAAAACTCGATCCCATTTACTTCTAGCTCTTTGCGTACCTGGGCAGAGAGACATCTTGGAGCACAAAGCAACAGAAACCTGAGGGAAAGGCAGGTGGGGTGTTCTGGGCGAACACATCTGGGGTATCCTTCCAGCAGGCAGGGGCTGGAGGGATTGTGCCTGGGAACTGTGCAGCAAAGTGAGGACACACAGAGGCAATGATGAGGCTTTCTTTCCAAACGCCAGTTACTTGTCTGGCTCTGCCGTTCCCGTGACACTAGATGACACAGGGCTACACACGTTTCTTCCCCCTCTAACAGATGCCTTTCTTGCCACAAACAGCTGCATCTTCAGGACTTACCCACCAACCCAGCACTAGACTCTGCACATGCCCCAGGGACTGTGCTGCTATCCCAGGAAGAAGCACAGTGTGCATTTCTCCCACCTCCAAGCCAGGGCAGGGAAGGATCTCATGCAGGAGAGGAGATACTCACTCTTTGTTTGAATTCAGTCTTTTCCTCCAAGGTCATGGTGTCAGCTTTGGCAATAACTGGGATGATGTTCACTACTTTGCTGAGATGTTTCATAAACTCCAGGTCCAAAGGCCGCAGGCTGCAGCCCAAGGGGGAACAACATGGAAAGGGCCACTTTACCCTCCTCCCTTTTCATCTTAGTGACTCTCCTAGCATCAGGGCATTGATTAACACCCCCTGTACATACCCTGCTTGCCACCACAATGCTCTCATCTCCTTCCCATCCATCCTGCCCCCTCCCAAAAAACAGTGGTATTTATCCTGCCCTTGTTATCCTAGACCCTTCCAAGCCCCACAGCACCCAAAATTAAGCTAAGCAGCGGCCAGTCCTGCAGGCAGGACCCGTGGGCCTGAGATGGAGCAGTGCAGGGTATGTATCTAGTACAGAGCACTGGGGACTTGAGGAAGGATGAGGGACTGTGTACATACGAGTGGCCTGTAGGGGAGATGAAGTAGAGGCAGCAGTGCACTCGCGTGTCTGGAATTCGTTTCTTCCTTGCAATATTCACTTCCTCTTTCAGGAATTTTTCATATTGCTCATTGATGTATTTCTCAATAGGCTCCCAGCTGTTAAGGTTGGGAGAGAGAGATGAATAGGTACAAATCTCCACATGTTCCTGCCTACAGTGTTCCCAGCTCTGACAGCAGCAAAGCACACTCAGGCATAAAAAATACCCACCATTAGCTGAGATGTTTAAGAGTTCCTGTAACTGGGCACAGAAATAGGCACTGGCTATGTAATGTGTGCATACCCCTGAGCATGCACACAGACCCAAGGTGTTCACAGTTCCATGTCCCCACTACTGGCTCCCTAAGTGTAATAGGAGTCCCTGATGCTTTCCAGGCCAAATGGATGAGAGCTGATCCATATACCACCTTAACTCCAGCCCTTTCTGCAACACAAGGCCTTGGCCATGTAAAACTCACCAGTTCTCGTTGTTGATCTGGTCCCCAAATCCTGGTGTGTCAATCACTGTCAGCTTCATTTTGACACCGCCTTCTTCAATGACTGGGGAAGAAATTGCGAACAATCAATAAGCCTCCCAAGGCACTGTTCTACCATGAAACATGTTTCTGTACCCTACAAGGGAACAAGAGTGCTCTGCCCTCATCCCTGCCCAGCAAGCATGACCAGGCCAGGCTGGGTCATGCCTCAACAGTGGTGATCCCCACTTGCATTTCTGACTCCAAATTTTGCTAACCTCTGCACCGAAGCCACCTTATACCACTCTGCCACAGGAAAATGGATTTGTGCTCAGTTTGTGGCCCAGAGCTATTACCTGTCTTACACAACTTGTCCTCCCCATCCTGAATCTGAGATGATACACATTACTCTGCGCCACTGTAGAAGCTGTGCTGATGCTTTGCCATGAGGAGATGTATTCTACCAAACTTGGGATGGGACCCACTAATGCAGTTTGTATTGACTATTAAGTGTCTGCAGGTGGGAATGACTTACAGCAGGGCTTAATCCACACATGTAGACTAATGTCTTGGCAGAAGAAACATCTATAACTCTTTTTCTACCTGTGGCATCAGTGCCATCACTGTTTAAGAAAAGCCGTGGCTGGATCTGAGGCCATCTAAAACTGACACTTGTCCTTTAGCTTCCCACGGAGAAAGGACTACCTAATACCAAAGGACTGTTTACATAAACTACTGGGGTCTTCTGCAAGACTGTGCTGAAACATAAGTATTGCTTCACCCCAGCAGCCTGGCTCTTACCATGCCCAATGGCTTTGATCTCCACCGTCTTGGGGATCTTCTCCTCCCGGTTCCACCCTGAAGATTTGCGGCTCACCTGGGATTTAAAGAGGGTGTTCACCAGTGTCGATTTTCCCAGTCCACTCTGACCTGAGGATTGCAAAGAGGAAGCCTATGACATGTGCCACAGCCCAGCGACGACAGCGGGCCCAGGGGATGGAGCCAGGCTGCAGGGGAAGGGACTGCAGAGGTCTCCTTGCCTTGTGTAGGCTCTCCTTTCCCCTGCACCAACCCCTCTCTGCAGGGCTTGCCCTCCCACCTGGCCCCATAGGACAGTCCCTGGCCATGGTTCCCAATACCTCAGCTTCTACGTGCCTACCTACAACCATGATGTTGAAGTCGAAACCTGTCTTCATTGTTTTCTTACGCATCTGCTCAATGATGGTGTCTATACCGATGTAGCCCAGCAAGTTGGCGTTAATGCCCATGGGTTTCATTGGTACGACTGGTTTTTGTCGTGGCTCTGGGACCAGCTCAGACATGGCTGCTTCACTTTTGTTCTCCACTGGTCCTACATAGGGAGAAAGATTGAAAAATCATCATTAAGGTGTGATAAGGACCTCCTTGCTGACCTGTCACAGGGACGGAGGGCAACTTTGAGCATCCATTTCAAGGGTACTTGGTGACTGGATGGCAAGATTTTAGCAGTAAGAAGTTCCTCTTCAGGGAGGAACATTTACTTGAGTTTCCAGCACACCCTTCAATGTATCATACCAAATGAGGAGGTAGAGAAGTGGGGTTTGCTGAGCACGCAGTGTGCTGAATGCTACCTCCAAACAGCACAAGTAGACACAGTGAATCTGGCTGGATTCCTATTGGGGTGCCCGAAGTTCTGCGTGTATCTCCTCAGTTTTGTCTCCCAGTTCTCACCAGGATCACCAGTGTTTTGCCCCTCCAAGTTTAGCATGAAATTTGTAGTGGAACAGACTTCCAAAAACTATCATGTGTCGAGTCCTGTCATTGAAACAGAGTTTGAGATTTACCACGGGGACTTCAAAGCTTAGCCCTTGCCAGGGGCAGCTGCATTATTGCCTGTGCTGTGAAGGCTGAGTTCCTCAGAGAAAGGCAGCGATGGCAGTGCAAACCACGGTCACAACCTCTGCACTTACCTCCCACCCATAGATCAATGGGTTTTATCATGCTCAAGAAACTAATCATTATGACCAATAAACTAATTATCTGCATCTTTCCCTCCTCACTTCTTCCATGTAAAACAAACAGGCAAAGAGAAAGCTCCTGCAGGCTTTATGGGCTCCCTGACTCTTTCAGGTGATGGCACACACTGCTTGAGGTGAGCCTCATCCATTTATCTCCAACTCTTGTCTTGTTAGTGAGCAGCTCCCACCCACTGGGAGGAAGCTGGAGGTTGGGAGAGGACAGGACATGGGAGAAAAGCTGTAATTGATGGGGAAGGGAGGCATGAGGGATAAATCTAGAAAGGAAGATGAAGGGGATGGGAATCAAATACCTTTCATACACAGACCAGCTGCAAACTAAAGCCTCTCCCACTCTAATTACTTGACTCCCCCATGCTTTGTCTCATTAGATGGTTATTTTCCTGGGACAGGGACAGCATCTGTTTTTGCTTGCTAAGCACTCCACTTGTTTTGGATGCCACTTCAGTTCAAGTATCTCACACTAAATTATCCCTTTCCATCATTCGGTGGAGTTTTTTGCTCCACTCAGCAGAACCCATTGGCTGCAGAGCAGGAAGTGAGAAGCCAGGCAAGTGACTGCCATTCAGTGGGTGATGGATGCTGCTTGGAGAGGAAGGTAATTCAGAGGTCACCAGGCTGGGGACACTGACAGCGCCAGTTCAGGGTCCTTGTGAGAGCTCAGCCAGGCCAGGCAGAGACCGGGGCTGGGGAGAGGTCAGAGTGATGTTGTTTGAGAACAGGGTTAGGCTGCACGGGTGGCTGGTGACCCTGCCCAGCATTCCCACATCAAAGCCCCTCTATAGACACAAGGGCTGCTCTACACAGTGAAGATTTTACATTGTACGTTATCTTCACTATCCCATGTGCTGGGGGCAGACCTTGTGGAAGGGCCACCAGTGGCAGGGAGAAGGGTGCCTCCAACCAGTTCCTTTGACACCACTTGAGGAGTTTTTTATGTTAGAGTGGGAGAAGGGATGTTGCCCTGTGGGAGAAAGTGGTAGCACTTCCACCCATGCACAGCACTGTGGATAACATCTGAAGGTTCCTGTACCTTCACCTTGGCAGCAGGGGAGTGCTCTGCTGGAGATGGTCCCTCACTCTGAGCTATCACCATCCTCTCCTGAAGCAGCGAGCAGTACCCTGGGGGGGCCAGAGCACAAGATGGACTGTTGGCTTGAGCCAGGTTGGCAGCTCAGAGCACCTCACGCTGCCGGGCAGCTGCCTGGGGAGCAGCCTGGCCAGCCAAGCGCTCCGCAGCTGCAGTCTGCTCTTGCACCCATCACAGCTCGCCTGTGCCTTCCCTGCTGACAGAGCATCCCCTGAGGCTCCTGCTGTCTTTTTCCAGCTTTCCCAAAGCTGCTGCCAGCCAGGAGAGCCCTGCACAGCATGGCGAGCCAAGGCAGCCAGCTCTCTTGCACTCTGCCCTTTGCCCCTCCTCACCCAGGTACAGGATCTGTGCATAGTCATGTGGCTGTGCCATGCCCCTCATCCTGCTGCAGCATCCTCCAGTGCACAGCTCACAGAGACCTGCTCTGGTCCCACCTACCTCAAAGACAGCGAGAAGAGATAATGAGAGAGGGAATGATGTGGGGAGATGGGACAGGGGACTGTGGGCCCAGTAGGGCACTTGCCTAGTGCAGTAATGGGGGCAAATAAACACCAGAGGTGGACAGGGAACAGGACAAGGTGAGAAGGAAGCCCAGCTGAGCAGCTGCATGGGATGAGTGCACGACCTGGCTGCAACCCTTTGCTGCCTGGGCTGTAGCTTGTCTTCAGGGAATCTATTGCCCTCTCTTTTATGCCTCCAACTCCTTGTTCTTACACAGGGAGGAGGAAGCAGGGAAGTTGCTGGCAGGCAACCTCAGGGGTCACTAAGAGGTTCATAGCTCATACCTCAGTCTCACCAATGGATGCTTTGCCCAGAGCCAGGAGATGTTCCCAGCTCTGCTGTGGACATTCAATATGTGGCCATCCGTTTACAGGCTTTACTGCTGGAGCCAGGAGCTTGCAGCAGCTGGAGCAGATATTTCAGAGTCAGGTTCCTGACCACCTATATAAAGCCCTGAGACCAAGAGAAAGGTTCTGCAGAAGACTCCTTAAACATTTCCTGGATTTTCCATCAGTGATGTTGCCCTGGGCATTTGATTTTGGACATTCAAGGTCTTGGTGTAGGCACCCTCCCTTTCTCCTCTCTTCCCACACAGCCTCAGGCAGGGAAGCCCCATTTTGCAAAGAGGTGCCCAAGGGCTCAGCTTTTTCCACTTCTTGACTCCCACAGAGGAATCCAAGGAGCCAACTGAGGAGCAGCTTGCTGGAGAGGTCAGGGTCTGCAAAAACCAAGGCAGAGCTATGAGAGCCACCTTGAGACATGAAATGTGCCTACTTGGTCTCTTGGGAAAGGCCCCGCTTCACATGCAGTAATGCTGATGCTGCTAGGAAACCTCGTTAGTGCTCTGAATGACTGGTCAAGGGGTATTATTGTGCATGCTAGGCACATCCTGGCCCCTCCAGCTGTCTGCTGTAATGAATACATGATAGGGTACTACAGCCAGTACAGCTGATAATGAATAGAGGGTTAGCCAAGGTTAACCACTTGCATCCGCTGCTTGCATCGCCACCCTTTTCCTTGCCACTTTGTTCCCTGTGCTAAGCCAAGCTCATTTAAGAGGGTCATTGTTGCCTGGTTCCTGGTGGGAGCTGGCTTGGGCTGGGCTGACAGGGGGCAACCTCTGGCTCATAGGAGATTCTCCACTTGGCTCCGGAGCAGGGAGAGGTGCAGCATCTGGGACCAGGGAGGGCAGAGCCAGAAGGGCAATGGGTGCCTGGAGAGGTCCTCATGGTCCCAGCTGGCTCCTGATTCTAACACCCCCTGATCCACCCCAAAACCACTCTCTGGAAGGCTGAAGTACATGGCCAGCTGCAAACACCACTCCTGAGGCACACGCTTCACATCTGCCTACCTCATGTTCACAGCAGCTAGCTGGGGACAGAGGTGGCCCCGCGGGTCCCTTAGGGGCTCAGATAGTGGGGACTAACATCTACTCTGTCCCCATAACCCAGATACAGTCACATCCCCTCCCCCTGCCTTCCCATCCTTTGTCTGAGTGGTAAGAGGGAGGGAGGACTGCAAACAGTTGCTCACCATAACCCAGCTTCCAGCAAGGAAAGGCTATTTAACCCCCACATAGCCCATGGACAACCTCCTGGCGGCTCCCATGTGGCATGAGGCTGTCCTGCTCTGGCTGGAGACAGAAATCGACACGAGTCTCACCCCAGCCCCTTCTACTTGCATGTCTCTGGACCCACAGTTCCACTGCCTGCAAGCATGGAACAGGGAGGAAGGATGGGGTTGGAGCTTGAAGGTGTCTGACAGGGGTAACACCAGGTTCCTGGGAAGAAAAGCCAGCAGCTCCTTCAATAGCTCATCCTCGCTGGGGCTTGCAGGCATTGCTTCTGATCTGTAGAGGTGCTGGACTGAGCATCCCTCTACTGGAAAATCCCTTTTATCCCTCAGTTTCCGTGATGACCCGGGCATTTCTCCCAGCTGTGCAGGGCAAAGGCTAAGCTGTGCCGGATGCACTGCGTGACCCCAGGGTGCAGAACAGAGCCATTCTTCTTACCAGATCTTTTTTTGCCTGGCCTGAGGACCACTGGACGTTTCCAGTGAGGCGGGGAAACTCATCCCAGTCCTTCGGCTGCTGCAGCCTTCCTGGCAGCAACCTTCCTTCCCCTCAGTGCTCTGCAGAGGGCTCGGGCAGGAGCCCGGCTCTGCCGGGGCTGCAGTGAAATCTAGGGCAGTGTGTGCTGAAGCTTCCCTGGAAGTGAAGGGGCTGGAGGTGAAGGGGCCGAGCACGTCCCCAGCCCAGCCACTGCAGGGTTAGATGCTCACCTCAGCCCCAGCTGTACCCACACTGCCACTCCCCAGCCGCGCATCTCTTACCCCATACCCCGGCTCACCCCTGGGAGGCACGGCTGTACCACAGGGCGAGAGGATGCTGAGCACCCCTGGACCACTGCAGCTGCCTGTGCTCCTGCCTGCCTGCCCACCCGTGCGGGGCCTCCCTGCCCGCCGCTGGCTCCTGCACAGATGCCCAAGGAGCAGCACAGGATGTCCCTGTTGCCCCTGCAGCCGCTGCCTGTCACTAGCAAGGGACAAGCCAGCCGACGAGCAGCTTGTGGGCTTCCCCCAGCCCTGGACCACCTCGGATTATCTCTTTCTTTCAAAGCAGCCCCTGACGCCAGCTACTCCCGATCAGATCCGCAAACAGCCCATCTCATTCTCCTTCATGCCAGACTGCTGCCACCAAAAGGAAAAAAAGAAGACAGACAAAGCCAGGACCGATTTCTCCTGCTGCCCTTCGGGGTTATTCCCCCCCGTGGCCAGAGCTGGGCAGTATGGAAGCACAGCGGAGGGTGCCTGCACAAAAAGCCCCAGCGGCGTCCCTCCGGCATCGCCCAGCCCTGCCAAGCCCAGAGCATCCTACCTTTGAACATGAAGCTTCCTTTGTCTCCGAATCCTCGCCCAAGGGGGTGGGTTTTCCCTTACTTTCCTAGCCTGACGCTGGCACGGCACGGTGGGCTACGAAGCGCCGCTTTTACCTCCCTCTTTCTTCCCTGTATCCTCTTCTCCCCCCCTCTCCTTCCCCTCCTTCTCCAGTGGCTATTTCAGCGGAGAGGGGATGCTGGTGCTGCTCCTGCTGCCATCGTCATGTGACCTGAATATTAAACATCGCCGCAAAATCTCCCCCCGCGCACCCTCCCCGGCTCCATCCCGGGCCCCGGCTCCATCCCCGGCCCCGCCGGGGGGGGGGGAACAACCACGGGGATGGGGACAGCACCGCCGATGGGCCCCCTCCGTGCCCTGGAGGGGCCCCCGTTGCACACCCACATCACACAGGCCTTTTCTTACCCCTTTCCCTCCCAATTCCCCAGCGTTTTCAGCATCTCTGCTTTTTAGGGAGGAGGATCTTTAACCCTTCGCAGCTTGGCTCTGGCAGGGCGCTCAAGGGCACTCTTTTCCCTTAGGTATTTATTGCAAGGCCTCCCTTCTGCTTTCCCGGAGGAGGGAAATTAGGAATGTTTTGGCTCATCAGAAGTGACTTGCCCTTCAGATCCGCTTGTGGAGGCGTGAGAAACCTTCTCTCCTCCGGAGCTGCGACTCCTGGCTCTCAGCCCGTGGTGCAGAGGCAGAGCGAGTGCTGTCCCCTCTGTGTGTGTGTGTACACATGTGTGCATGAGCATACACGTGTTCATGTGTGTGGTGAGCAGGAAGAGGTGCTGCCCGTGGGCCATGCTGGGGTACGCAGGTCATATCCCGTGTGCCCCCACAGGCATACACACATGCCTGGCAGTGCCCACCTGCATGTGCCCAGTGGATGTGCTTGCATCTGGAGAGGGGGCACATCCTGGAGGGGGATGCCCCTTCCTCTCTCTGTATTTCGTTCTCCTGCATTCTACAATAAATCTGGAGAGGGACTTTTTACAAGGGCAAGTAGTGACAGAACAAGAGGGAATGGATATAAATGGTCAGAGGACAGATTTAGATTAGATAGTGGGGAAAAAACCTGGAACTGCCCAAGGAAGTTGTGACTGCCCCATCCCTGGCAGCATTCAAGGCCAGGTTGGACACAGGGCCTTGGAGCAACCTGCTCTAGCAGAAGGTGCCCCTGCCCATGGCAGGGGGTTGGAACTGCACGAGCTTTAATGTCCCTTGCAACCCAAACCATTCTGTGATTCTGTTTGCGAGCCCTGGCTGCACTGTGCCCCTGCCATGCTGTGCTGGGGCCAGGGCAAAAAGGAAACTGCACCCTCTGTGGGTTACAGGACCATTTAGGAATCACCGTCAGTCGTTACCCAGAGTAGGTGGAGTGGTCCACAGCCTGGCTGCCTAAGACAGACGACAGACAGAGAAGTATCCCAGCACCCCCAGCATCTCCTGTCATGGTGCCCATGGCTGTCCATTTCCTTGCTGCGTGCCAGGTTCACCTCCACACAGGCTCACCTCCTGTCTGCCTTTGCCCACCCACATTCCCAGTGTAGGGAGAGGAGAAATGGCCACCAAGGAAGGAATTGCTCCTCATCCTCCCCATGTCACCCCACTGCTCCCGCAGGGCCCTGCCCCATGCCAAGCCCCATGGCACTACCAAGGCACCCTTTTGTGCCTCCCTCCCCCCTTGCCCAGCCCATCCCAGCAGCAGAGACCCACCGGAGCATGGTGGGGCGCAGGGAACCCCCATCTTCACCACCGGGGAGGCTTCGGCCCCGCCACGTCGCTGGGACCCCTCGGCCGCTGTGGGTCGGGGCCGAGGGGGGACGGGGGTGATGGGCGCCGGGCCGCGGAGCCGCTCCCAGGGGAGCTCCCCGGCACCCGCACTGGCCTGGCGCAAGGTGACGGAGAGGCAGCTCCGCTTCGTGGGGGCACCAAGGGGGCTGTCCCGCCGCTGCGACGGGGTCGGGATGCGGCTGGGGCCGCCCGGGGCGGGCAGGTGGCCGCGGTGATGGGCGACGTCCTCCTCCATGGCTGCAAGAATGAGGGCAGGGTCCCGGCGCTCCCCCCCTGCCGGGGCCGCGGCGTCCCGGGGCGCAGCTCCCCGGCAGCGCTGCCCAGCGGCCAGCCCGCCTCCGGGCAGGACAATAGCGAGCCTGTGCCCTGTGCCCACGCCTGGCGCTGCGGCCGCTCCTGCCCCTGCCCTGGAGCCTTCCTGGCTCCGTGCCGTGGGCAGCCCTTCGGCACAGCCCCTGCCCTGCTCTCCTGGTGGGAGGTGATGGAGCAGTGCAGACCCACCGGGTCAGGGAGGTGATGGAGCAGCGCAGACCCACCAGGTCCGGGAGGTGATGGAGCAGCGCAGACCCACCGGGTCAGGCCGGTGCTGGCTGCTCCCAAGGACAACCGGGGTGACTGGAAAAAAAAAATAAAATTAAAATCTCTGAATTTTTGAAATGTTTTCCCATCCTTTTTTTTTTTTTTTCCCTTCAAATGGCAGATTTCAGTTAAAGGATTTATGCCCTCCTGAGAGAGTTCGCTCGTCAGGTGTTCATCAAGGTTTACACTTCTTTCCTTTACTCTGATCTTCTTCTGCTTCTTCATTATTCTGATTGTTTCTTAATTTTGCCAGCGTCGGGGTCGAGCAAGCATCTTGCCACTGTGCACCTTCCTCACCATGAAAGAGACTTCGAAAGGCAACGCAGTGACGAAGGAAGGAAGAAGAGAGGTGTTTTGGTGGAACAGGATGAGAGTATGTGTGGTTTGTTGGGCAAATGGGAGCAAAGAGGAGGAAAGCTGTTCACACGTAGCACCAAAAGCATGGCACCCACAGTGACACGTCAGGTCATGCACCCAGCCTTTGGGTGGCCATGGCTGAGGGCTGGAGGGGTGACAACAAGCTGTGAGGAGTGCTGGGGATAAGGACAAACTAACCTCTCTGCTTTAAAGGCAAAGAGACAGAGAGGATGGGAAAGACCATCCTGATCCTGTGCAGCATGCCCAGCACTGAGTATCTTGCCTGATGCTTTACACAGTCTAATTCAGTATCTGTGGCTATGTCCCTCTCCCCTGAGGCCTCTTTGGCTGCACAGGTCCCACAGGGGTGACACAGTCCCAGTGTTTGCATTTGCCTGAATTATTCCCAGAGAGCCCTGTGGCATAGCTGGCACAGACACCATGTGGATGAGGACCTACCTACCCCGCTGTAAAGGAAACCTCACTGCACACTGGTCCTTGCTACCTGCCTGGAGCTGGAGGGAGGCAGCTCCCAGGGGGAACAAGAAGAAAGCCAAGCATTGGCCACGCATTTTGTCACACAGTTTTATTCCACTGGGGAGGGCTTTGACACCGCTGGCAATAAAGTCCTTCATGCACATGGAGAATACCTGGCTTAATACCGGTTGCATTAGGACTGACAGAGTGAGATAAGCCAGAGGAGAGGAACAATTAGCTTCTCTCTAGTCCAGCCCTGACCTGTTCGTTGCCTTCTTTTTGCTTGGTTTCTATAGCAAGTCATGAGCAGAGCGGAGGTGAGAACAGGCAGGACAGCAGGCAGAGGAGGGCACAGAGGAGGGCACAGGGGAGCCCCATCACACCACGGATGCCGGCCGGGGGAGGGCAGCAGTATCAGACCCAGCCCTTCGGTTTTACCAGGCTGTGGCTTTCCCTCTTCTCTTCCCACTGAGCGGGTGGAAGCAGGTTTGGAGAAGGTGCGATGGCAGAGCAGCCTGCACTGGCGCAGGCCCCAGAGACCAGACCCCCCCTCCCCACAAGGACGGTGTAACCTGTTCCTGGTGGCTCCAAGCCCCCCAGCTCCAGTACAGAGCGTTTTATGGCTACACCAGGTCTCAGCCGGGGTCCGTGCTCAGTGCAGCCCCAGCTACAAGGGAGTGGAGGTGAGGAAGAAGGTTTCCAAGCTGGCGCTTGGAGGTATGGCTGTGTTGTGCCAGAGGGCAGGGGATGTGAGCCATGCAGACCATGCAGCCCAGCCCCACGGCATTTCCCTTTCACAGCCCAACTCACCAAGGCACAAAAATATGTGGGATTTACCTGTTTCAGGCTGTACCTACGCTTTGAGCAATTGCTTGCCAGGGCGAGCATTACTTTGGGCACTCACTGCATCTCCCTGCAGAGCAAGACTCCCCAGTTAGGGTACTCACATCTCTGGGTTGTGGCTGAATGTATGGACTGAATGAGGGACAAAATGTCCCAGAAAGACTCAGGATGTTTGGAGGATGTTCTGACCCATTCCTTCCTCAGCCAGAAATCATAGAGAGAGAAATTAGCTTTCATCCCCAGAGAATTACCCATGGAGCATCACTCAGTCAAATCAGCCCAGGGCACCCTCCTCCTTTCTTTGGGAATAGAGGAGAAAGCTTCCATTGATGGGTTCACAGGAGAAACTGAGTGACATGAGCCCATCTAGGACATGTGGCAGATTTGGGCAGCTGGCTTGAGGGACTCCTGCTGCCCAAAGCAGCCATCAGGGGCTACAGCACAGACACAGCACCCTGGGGATGTGGGTCGCTCTGCTACTGGCAGGTCCATGAGACAGCATGGGATGCACAGACTCATGCGGATGTGGTGGTGGCACTGTCTGACATCCCCTGGGACATCAGGAGTGGGGCACACAGGGCCCCGCATGTCTGGGGCACTCACTGTTGAACCCACTGCATACAAAGGGTGGAAGTTGGGGTAGTAGGAGAGGTGATGAGAGGCTTTTGAGACAACCTGCTGCCACAGGTTCAGAGCTCTCCCAGACCTGCCTATACACACTGGGTATCACACTAGGCTGGCAGGGAGGGAGAAGATGTGATTAGCAAGGGACCTTTCATTTGAGTCATTCACCAGTCTTGGCCATGGGAAGGAGCAGAAGTCCTTGGCTGGGTGCGGGCTGTGAGCATGGGGGAAGCCCCGAGCCTACAGTGCCACACAAACCTCGCCTAAGAAACAAAGGGGCAGAAAGGTGAGTGGTGAGTACAAAACCCAGACCAGCAAAGAGCAAAGCTGCTATCAGCCCAGCTTGCACAGGACCGGACTGTCACCCGTGCTGACGCTTGCAGACTGCTGTCCATGCAGGAGAGGCTCTTCTGGACTGGGTGGGCAGCATGTCAGACCTCGGGCACCCCGAAGGCCAGGTTGTCCCGAATCATCAGTGTCTTCCGAAGGTCTCGTTCCATTATCGGCCTCTGAGTTCGCCACTTATGGGCTTCCTGGAGTCCTGGCTCAAAGTAGTAAATGCAAGCTCCAAAGCCCACCAGGATGAGAATGGAGATCATCAGATACACCGGCACGAACCAATCCAAGAAGTGAGGCATGGCTGCCAGAGAAAAGGCAAGACACCCCATGCAGTGGGAGCACCCAAGAAACGCAACAAGCTTCATGATGAGACACCTGCCCCATCAGCAGGGCCCAGCCCCCCTACACCCTTCCTCATTGCCCCACCACACTCCAGTTCATGCTAGGTCTCACACCAAGGCACTTCAGCCTTTGGAAGAGAGCAATCTCTTTGACTCATCTCTGGCACCCCCTCACTGAGTGGCAGTCCCAGTCCCTCCCCACAGCCCTCAGGCCCCCAGCCCTGCTCCTCATCTGCTTGTAGGGAATTCTGCTGCTCTTTCCCCTGATGCTCCATGACCCCTCTGAATACCCAGTCTGAGATGGTTGAGCCCTCCCTTGCTGCTCACCTATTTGGTATCCCGCTTTGCCAGGGCTCAAGGACCTTGCAGGGCTTGGCTGAGCAGAGCCCAGATCCCCACATCACATCAGGTGCTGGGCAGTGGGAGCCACTTACCAGGGGCAGCTGACCTGTCTTGCCAGGAACCCCTTGCCACTCAGGAACGAGGTGCCGAGCCTGAAGAAGTGCTGCCCTGGGAGATAAAACCCAACACAGATGCATGTCTGTCAATCCAGTGCTAAAAATGAGCGAGCAGGGCACAAAACCTTTTCCTGCCCGGCCACCAAGGCTGAAGCTTTATGAAGGGGCAGGCAGATGGGGTTCCAGCCCCACAACCTGCTGATGCCCTGGCCAACATACACCCTGACTCAGGGCCATTTAAAAGCTGTAATGGCACCATGTTTGTGCCCAGCCCTTATCCCCACCCTTTGCGATGGAGCAATCCGCAGTAGTGCCAGGCTCAGGCACAAAAAGCAGCCCTACAGGCTCGCCCTCCAGTGGGGGTGTTGAAATGCCCCTTGATTTCAGTGGCAGCAGATAGGGCAGAGCTGCACCCATGCCAAGCTCCTGCTTTTCCAGATACCTGAAAGATGTCACCTGCAGCTGTCCCCTGAGACACCCCTCAGCCTGCAACCACATGTCCACTACCTTCCTTGTGTGGGGCACTTAAGGGGAGGCTGGGGACTGCTCTGAGCATCTCCATCCTCTTTCCTGCTCCTGGCCTGTCAGAATGCTGCCTCTTGCAGCAGGAGAGCCCATCCCTGCCTGCTCATCCCAAGACTTGCATGAGGTTCATCTCTACCCTCTGAATAGCACCTTTATTGTCACAGGGTTAGATCTGAATAAAGCTGCAGTTCTTGTTAACATAAGCAAGAAACTACCAGCATTGGAGGAAATGCCTGATTTCCTCCCACTTACTGGCATGGATGTTGATACTTATCTGTTCTCCTTGCATGACAGGGAGGACCTCAGAGGATTTTGCCTCCTCCTACCACGCTGTTTGGCTTTCAGCAGCCATTGGGTTTGCTGCCCATGGTGCTGCCCCTACCATTGCCAAGTCCTGGAGGACTTCTTCCATCTCCCTCTAATGATTCACATCTCCCTTTTGCCAGGTCCTTGCTCCACCTGATCAAGAGCAAGGGGACTGGGCAGCTCAGCATCAACCACCATACGGCTGGGAGCAAAGGGCAGTCTTAGTGCTGCTCCCACCTCTTCACGGCTGCCTCTGCCTCCCTCAGGAGAAGCCCCCTGCCCCAGCCTGCAGTAACATTGCAGATGTGTTGTGGGGAGCAAGGATCCTTCTGTGGGGCTTCCAGAAGGAATTAGGCACAGACCATGGCCCCTGACAGGAGCCTGAGGTCCAGGTTTGGTGAGAGGCCCCTCAGTGCAACTTTCCTCCATGCTCTGCAGAAGCAGCTCCTCTGCACCCCCTGCACCCCTCAGCTGCTGCAGCCAGGCTGGCAGACAAGGATGCTGCAGATCCCTCTTCCAGAGGTGCCTCTGCCATCAGTCTCAGCTCATGACACCGATGGTCAGGAAAGGTGACTCGGGCTTGGAGCCCCCGGTGCAACGGGAGAAAAGCCAGCAACCTCATTTCCTTCCCTGACCGTCTGCTTTCCAAACCTGGGAGTGAAGCTGCCATCCAAAAAGTACCGCAATAAAAAGCAGCCTTACAGACTTCCCCATTTACCCTTTCTCTGTAGCCGGCAGCGCCAGCACTTCCCAGCTCCTCGCCAGCAACCCATTCTTCAGTCTACTTGCTATGCAGCCCTCACCTTGTGCTGCATCCCCCCCTCACTCGCCTGTCCCTAGCCCCAGCGAAGGATCCTGGCCATGGCTAAGCTGAGGTGTCATTCCCCACACTCACAGCCTCTGCAGGACTGGCCCAGCAAAGCCCTTGCACTTGTCATGTGGTTGAGCAGATTTTAGCTGAAAATGCTGAAAAGAGGGAGTTTTAGTCAAAGATGTCAGCTCTCTGGAGCAGCCCTGCATATATTAAATGTGCCTTAACCCTTGCCGGACCGGTTGAACTCAGCACCCCATTTTGCAATGGGATACCTGTGACCTCCCACAGACAATATAAGTGTTCTTGGTCTTTCATCTGAGACAGCGTCTCACAGAGGTAAGCTGACTGACCCTTTAGAAATCTCTGCTACATGTGTCATTCCAGCCACTCTCCTTCAGTGTCACCCCTGGATCCTCTCATGCCACCTCCCGCTGCCCCCCCCCCATGTGCTGCGGGTGCCCTTGGAATGGGCAATCCAGGGGCATACCGAAAGTGACCAGGCAGAAACTGCTCAGGAGAGGCCAGGAGCAGGGAGAGGGGGTTTGCAGGGGAGATGGAAACATAGCAGTGACCAGGCAGGGGTGAGTGAGGCAGAACTGCCATGCAGAGTGCCAGGACTTGGGTGACTTCAGGCACAAAAACCTTCCCGTGTGAATGGGTGGGAGCACACACCAGGTTGCAGCGTTACCAGCCACGGGCTCACCCCGACTATAGAAGACCCCCCACGCTCCCCACTCCCATACATTGCATCCCCGACAAAACCCCGTCACCTGCCCTGCAACGTGCCACCTACCTCCTTCCACAGCCGCAGGGAGACGGGGTGAGGCTGCTCCCTCCCGCATCAGCCGGGCCGGTCGGGAGGAGTCGGGCTCTTTCCCCAGCCTGGCAGTGGCAGGGAGAAGGGACCCCGCTGCGGGAGAGGAGGGCGACAGCGAGAGGCGACACGCGAGGGGCGGGAGGGAAGCCGGGAGGGAATGAGGGAGGGAATGAGGGAGGGAAGGAGGGATGGCGGGGTGTGCAGGGGTGACACGCAGCCTCATTTCCCACCGCGGCTCCTGCGGGCTTCCCCCATCGCCTCCCCGGCAGCTACAGCCCCCCTGCAGCCTCCCCAGGGCACCCTCCACCGGCCTCAGCCCCCGAAGGAGGGAGCATCTGCACCAATTGCAGGGGAGAGCTGGAGGCGGGGGGAGGATTTTAGCGGCCGTCGTTATGGCAACAGGATTCCCGAGCTCACCCGCACATGGTACCCGGGCGGGAGCCACGGGAGACGCGGCCAAGGGATGCTCTTCCCTCTTCCCGCACCACCCGCAGCCCGGACTGCAGCGCCGGAGAAGCTGCTCTCCGCCGGGCTGAGAAGGAAGGATGGGGCTGAGGAGGAGGCGAAGTGCTGGGGGACACGTGTGTAGGTTCGGGATGATTGCAATGTACGAGATGTTAAGGGTCCGCAGTTCTAGCGGTGAGCCCCGCCCGTGTCTGGGGGCTTGTCAGCAGCGGGATGGAGGCAGGGGGAGGCAGGAGTGGAAGGGGGAGGGAGGTTACTACTCCCTTTGAGGGGTTTATGCAAAAATGAAATAATCAACACTGACCAAAACTGTCTTCCAGTGGAAAACAAAAGCATCGCAGCCTGAAATAGTGTTTTTGCTTTCAACGAAATACCTTGTTTCCTGCATCCATACCTGGCTCTGTCACAGCTGCTGCAACGTTAAACCATTTTCGGGTTTTCAAAGCAGCACAGAACAAACAGCTACCAAACTATTTTGCTGTTGTTGTTGTTTGTGTTTTGGGGTTGTTTTGTACACGGTGAATTTTTTACCATGACCCAGAAGTCGTTTAATGCAAGTGTTTTAACAAAATCCATCAAACAACTGGCTCCAGCCCTGAGAGCTGCCTGTGCTGCCCAGTCCTGCCCACTTAGTCTCTGACACCTACAGCCCTGCAGCGCCTGCAGGGGATGGTTGTCAAGGCTTGGGGGCTACTAATACCCACCAAACTGTCTGAGCCCCAGATTCATGCCCACTACATGCCTATGCTCCAGAAGCTGTGAGGTGCAAAGTTTGGCTTCCCAGTAGATTGTGTTCCAGGCACAGAGGGGTTCATCCTCTCCCAAAGTTGGTCACAGAGCCCACATGTGCTTGCTGGCTCCAAAGGTGATACACCCAAGGGACCTGTCTCCTGGTCTGTCCTGGGGTTTCATGCATCGGTGCAGGGACAGGGCTGTGCTAGGAGCGGTGGAAGATGGCTAGCACACTCCACCATTTCCTCCTGATCCTCCTTTTTCTCCTCCCAAGTCCCACTTCTGCTTGATGTAACTTCGTAATAGCTTACAAGCATTGAGTATAGGCTCAATATACCCCTGCACCTAGCACGATATCTGCATGGAGGATCAGATCCATCAGGATTAGTCAACTGCTTCTTGGTTTGATGGGCACTCCAGATGGTTGCCATGTGCCTCCAGAGAGAAGCCTGCAATCACACCTTAATTTTAACCTCACTGAATGAAGTTCAACCATGACACCCACCTTGACCACCAGTGAAGTAACTGCTTCACTAATCCCACTGCATTAGGAGGAAAGCACAAGCCTCACGGTTTTGACAGTACTGGGAGAGAAATGTGGTTTGGACAAACCAAAAGCCAAACAGATTTAAAAGAAAAAGTAAGATGTTGAAAGGATATTATTTATTGTGTTCCCAGAGCAAACCCTAAGGGTAGGCAAAGGCAGAGTACATGTCATGACATGGCAGCCTCCCTTGATTCAAGAACCCTCCCAGCTGAGTCCAAAGTACCCTTGGAGGCAGCAGGAAACGAGTATAGGAGCTGGGATACGCTTGCAGAGCCCCTACCTCTGACTCCGTGGCAGCTCTTGCTGCCTGTGACAGGGCTCTCAGGTGCTGTCACATCCTTTGGTTTCTGACAAGAGGTACAGCATTGAGACAGCTCCAGGCTCCATGTACAGCTCAAACCACATGGAAACCCTTCACTGCTGTTAAGCTTTCACGATGAATAAGGCTGCTGTGTGCCACTCAGCATCTTCCAGGCATAAGCATGTGCATATCATTCTGCCTGGCCCAGGGGGACTTCCAGCCGCCTCCACCTCACTTGCAGGAAGCCCCTGAGTGGCTGTGCACACACAAGCCCCTCAAAGCCATTCACTTCAGGTTATTTGCCCAGCACCAAGCTTCCAACTCTGTCCATATGTCTAGGCAGCCCCAGATTCACCTGCGTGATGAAGGCAAGCACGGGGTTGGGTTTGACATGAGAGGGCCACCCAGCTAGAGCAGGCACCATGAAACCCTTCTCAGACAAAAGGCCTGTCTAGAGAAAAAGGAGATGGTTGGGCAGCCTCAGCCACATGCTTCCTTCTTGTCACATGCCCAGAAATCACAGCACGAACAACATACTGAGCCCGGCTTAATCCCAAACCTGATTAAGTGTCATTCAAGTTTTTTCCTAACAAGTTTTCCTGGCGTTCTTTAGCATCCCTTAGGCTTTTATCACATCTTCCAAGATAATCAGACACTAGTCTGCCTGGTTTTCAGGCAAGACCAATCCCCCAAACACTACTCTCCCAAGGTCGGTAGAGGCATGGGAGAAGTTGGACTGCATCAAACTAGCCTCCCCCAACGGCTGCAGTAGAGGCCAAAACTCCTGCAAGAGTCACAGAAATACCTCCCTGCTTGGCTGCTGGAGGGGAGGGAGTTGCTGCAGGATGCAGAAGGCACCCTGGGTGCATGGCACAGCATAAGTCAGATACTCTGGTGGAAAAGCAGAATAACCTGCCTTCCGGGTGTTACTGCAGCTTCCAATAAGGAAACCCATTTGAGAAGCTTTGCTGAGCTGATCAAAAAGCTAAGGAAATGTGTACGGTGACTTAAATTAAAGAGCAGAATGGAAATATCAGACTTACTCTGTGCCTAATGATAGCAGGGGGGAGCCTTTGCCAAAGGAAGCTGGAGTTGCCAGCAGCATATGTGGAAATGTCATTAGTTTCCCTAACAATTAGCACTTGCTGCAACTGATATTGTTTTTGTCTATTACTGAGAGAACAAGTGCAATGAAATACACAAGTCTGTATTCTGCAAGCTTCCTGGGCAGGACTGTGAGAGGTGAGCTCAGAGACATGGCCAGGTGACATCTCCAAAACTCATGCTGAATGGGGCTGGGATGAAGCCACCACTGCCAGGAGATCTGGGAGCATGTGCTGAGACAACGGGGACCACTGGGGCCAGCACTCCTTTTGAGACCATCTTCAAAGACTGTCTCCTTCACTCCTCTGGCTGCTTGGAGAACAGAGTGACAGGACAAGGAGGAATGGCTTTTACCTGTCAGAAGGGAGATTTAGGCTACAGATAAGGAAGAAATTCTTCCCTGTGAGGGTGCTGAGGCACTGGCAGAGGTTGCCCAGAGAAGCTGTGGCTGCCCCATCCCTGGCAGTGTTCAAGGCCAGGTTGGACGGGGCTTGGAGCAACCTGCTCTAGTGGAAGGTGTCCCTGCCCATGGCAGGAGGTTGGAACTGGATGAGCTTTAAGGTCTCTTGCAACCCAAACTGTTATGTGGTTCTATGATCATGCAGAGAAAGTATCTCAAGATTCAGCCATGAACCCACTGGGTGAAGTACACAGCAAAGTGGCCAAGGATACACGAGGGCAAGGTGTGCTGTGTAACATTTTTTCTAGCAGGTGGTGCTGTCCTGCTGCAGAAGTGACTGTACCATTCCCAGGGAGGACTGGTGATGGCCAGGCCAAGTCTCACTGATGCAAATTGCCTTCATTGGCAGTACCAGAGCATTTTCGTGTTGGCTACTATTACACTTCTACTCCTTTTTTGAATGGTTTGCTCTACCACAGCAGTATACAGTGCCCCACAGAGTATTATCACGAGCTTTCCCCTTCTGTATCATGCCCTGCTCTTGTCCCTTCTGCCCGAGCTGGGGGCCAGAGCACTGGCACCCCTGCATCAGCTCTCCTGCACCGCTCAGAAGGGGAGATGGACTCATTATTCCTGCTTTGCAAACTGGAAAGAGGGTGGGAAGAAGTGAAATGGCCTGACACAGCCAGACAGTGATATGTAAAATATACCCCAGGCTCCATCACCAATTGTGTCTCAACCCTCTCCCCTCCTCTCCTTGCCAAGCTACAGATCTAGACAAGAGCTGCAGGCACATTGCCAGTCTGAGTCTCCACCTCCTTATGCTATTCTATCCCGTGAAAAGCAGTTTATAAACGCTACCCTTTGGCATTAGATGTGTTTTACACCCCGTGGTCTATGGGTAAATAGCCATTGAGGGTGCAAGACGGTGACTCTTGCTTTCCCCTCTGGCTCCCCACAGAGGTGAGCTTGCCCTGCTGGCTTTGCATCCCCCGTGGAGCATCCCTGCCCGCATTTCAGGGGAAGGAAGGCAAAGTGAACCTGCCCGGCGCAGCTCGCAGTGCCAGCTATCTGTCAGCAGCTTTGCATCGTAGGAGTACATTTGCTCTGCCAAAGCCTGGACTTTCATGCAGGGACCGGCAGTACCACTGCACTCCCCCCATCCCCTTAACCCCTCTGTTGGTAAGGGGCTAAGAGCCCCTCTGGCTAAAGGGTGCGGTGACACACAGAGGAGGGAGCAGGGTGAACCTCTGTGTCCCCACAGGAAGGTGGGGGTCAGCCCTGCAAAGGGAATTCTGCCCAGGGACAGCCAATAAACCTGCTAGGGACAAGGACAAATAACTGTGGGATCGGTGGTAGCTTCCCTGGACCCGCTGCACCTCAACAGACAGCATGTTGTGAAAAGGAGGAAGCCTGCAGTGACAGGGAACAGTTAGCATCTCCCCCACCAAACACTGAAGCCGCCCAGGTCCTGCTGCGCTGACAGAGAGCAGGCAACAGGAGCACAAAGAGGACAAACACCTTTTAGGTGGGTGCCAGAGCTTTTAGCATATTTCCTCAGCAGCCCAAAGGAGCATTGTCCTAATTGCTCTCCATCTCCCCAAAACCTGGGAGCTGGGTCTCTTTATTTACCGCATCTGCCTGCCTCCCATCTTCAGGACACGTCTGCCCTGGATTCGTCCTCCCTTCCCCCCGTCAAACTCAACAACAACCAGAAATATCCTGTAATCTCTTCTGCTTCACCTGTAATTTGTGTCATGCTGGCAAGGAGGAGCGGAACCGTCTGCCTTTGTCAAGATCAAAAAAGCCACGGCA